TTGAAAAAAAAGGACGGGAATAAAAGCAAAATACAGAAAATTGAATTAAAATATAATTTAAGAGTGTCGTTAGGTCCTGTATATTTAGACGGCCACTTCGAGTCGTTTATAAATCAAAATTACGTTTATAATTGCCGTAGGTGGCGTGTAATTTATGTTAGTTTAAAGTTTCATTTACTAATCCATAAGAAAAATTGACTCCGCCGTAACTACAAACGCAAATAGGGGTATTTTCACTTAAGCGGGGCTTAATTCGGCTTTACATACTCCATTTTAGAACGTTTCCATAAAACATTCCATTCTCCAGCTTTTGCACTTTGCCCACATATTAGGCAAAGATTCGAAGATCATACTTCGCAATTACATTATCCTCACAATCCTTTAACCATTTCAAATATTTATATTCGGAACGGTTTCCTGTTGAACGTATAAAGTAAATTGGAATGAAAGCGGTGAACAAGAAAATTAACTCTTGGTAACTTCACTCACGTAGAAAAATTTATGTATAACTTTTTCCTTTTATGAAATCACAAAAAGGAATTAATTTTTTAAAAAGTTAACATTTCAGTTGCTGCATTTTGTAATGTAAGAAAATTTTGATTATTGGCCTTTCGAAACCTCGGGGTTTCAAATATGAAAATTTAAATTGAGAAGCAATCCTGGTGAAAATACAGTTTCCGTTTTTGAATCATTTATGATCAAGAAAGCTTTTTACAGATACAAATAACTGCGCGAATTTTCCTGTATCCTGTAAACGCCAGGCGCAATTTATAGTTAGGAATCAATTTTACCTGTCTGTTGTTTGTCTGTCCGTCTATGTGTGCACGATAACTTTGTTTAGAAACGTCGGATCGCTTTGAAAATCGGTACGCATGTTTTTAATGATATAAGAAAGGTCGCTATTGTTTTTCAGCTACGTAGACTAACGGAAAAAAAGATACATCGCAAAAACTGACCTAACCTCCAAAAAATAGGGTTCTTTTATCTTTCTTTTTACAAAGAACATATGACTGTTAGGTTTTCGGTATTAGTAAATATTCCTTAAACTTCAAACAACTATGCAGACGAATTAACAAATTTTTCTCATGCGCAACCCAGCTTTGGTAACTGCGCAATCCAATTTTTTTATATGTTAAGATATTTAAATGAAACTTTGTATATACGCACCTGGAATAAAAGTAAAACTAATACCAAACTAAAAAATTTGTTTGACAAGCTATGCTGATCTGGTGGGACAGAATCAACCCCTTAGGTGTGTTGTAAAATTGATGGATGCGTGAAGATCTCGAGGATCGTTCGGTATTCCGTTGTATCAGATTTTTGTACTTATACATTCTATACGCTAAGAATAGGTTGCGCATGCAACTTTCTCTAGAACTTTCTTATTTATGAATTTTTTGGTTAATTTGCTGAAAATGAATTTGACTGTAATTTTTTTTGACAAAGACTGCTAATGTGGAAATGCGCTTTTTGTAAATCATTTACTATTACTTTTTGAACCTGTTTTTCTTTGTTGTTGCAGTTGTATGTAAGTTTTTCATTCATACTTTTCCCTCTTTTTTTCCTTTGCTTGCTTTCCCTCTTCGCCTCGTATCTTATCGTCCTGCCTCCTGTATCTATTGTTATATTCATCATTTTTGTCTGTTCTTCCACTATGTAATTTCCTTTCCAGCTCCTCTCATTTATTCTACTCTCTTATCTGCGATCCAAACATCAGTACCACCCTATTATCACATTAACTAGGTACCTATTTTATCAAACCAAACTCATTGTTGTTATCACTTTCTCCTATTCCCCATTTTGACACTTCAACGTCCTTATCGCACACGATCAGATGGCACTTAAATGTACTCGACCAGATGTTCCTTAATTTTAAACAACGCAATTTTCACATCCTACAAATTTACACGAATGATAATATTTAACCAAGAAATTATGCAATTAAAAACAATTCTAAAATGGAAAAATAGACAGTACCGATTCTGATGAAATACACCAATTCTGTGCCTATTTGTAATGAAATCGTGCAGCTTTAAATTAAATTAAAACATTCGAATGTACAGGGTGGCCCATCTTCGGTATTATTTCACCCTAAATAACGTCCACCTGACGTTATGTACCTACACAACAATATTTATTAGTTTTCTCAATTTCTCCTTGGCTCTATCTGTGACGGATATCCTAGTTTCATTTATCATGTCGCTTTTCGCTACCACCTTCCTTTTTTTTGAGCTACATCCCTTTTTTGGTCCTTTCCTGTTTCATATTATTTGTCACTCTTCATACTTTTTACACTTTTTTTTACCTTGTTTTTTGTTCTCGCACTTTCCTCTTTTCTTTCTTTTTCCAACACCACGACTATTCAAAAATAAAGTGTTACATTGTACCTTTTTGTAACTATGGCTTCAATACTTTTTCACGAATTCCTTGAGGGATGCTACGAAAACAAAAGAAAAATTCGACAATCTATCCCTCTTTAGACACTTTTATAAATTCAATCCATATCCCAGTCAAGTGACCCTACGAAGAGAATGACCAACTTTACACAATTTATTTAATGTTAAACAACGGAAGCCTTTTGTCTCTAAAGAACACATCTAAACAAGTTTACTTCAAAACTATCGAGTCGAGTAGTTTCTCAATTTGCGCTAAACTTCTTCAAGCCGGAAACTACGACAGAATCGAACGTCTCCGCACAATTTAAATGATTTTTCTCCGCGGGGTAATAAGTACAATTATAGCCTTCATGAATGAAATACAACCCCTCTAATGGCCGTCGCTTTTCGTTTATAAGAGATAGGTACTTTCATATTTTGTTCCAGTTTCTGGAATAGTTCGACGATCTTACATTTATACGCAGAACAAATTTTTTTGCCTGAAAACAATTTCCGGGTGTTTTCAATTTTTATTAATACCGATTTAATTTCATGGGCTCCGATAGAAGTTTCAGATTATGTCACGTCCTTCATGCGTTTAATGCAAACAAGAAGCTGCCACTTTTCCAAAGTTGAACAAGTTGCACCAACCAACCACTGTTAACTAATAATAATAATGAAGTAAAGTGTAAAATTGACCATACGATAGGGCTTATTTCTCGATAAAAAAACTAGCGCAATAAGGCATTAGGGGTTTGTGATGTTATGAAATCGCAGGATATTCAGTAAGCGTTTCGTGATTTTACAATTCCTGGATGCACTGAACTGACTGAACAGGCGGGATGTTGAAATTTCCACGGGCCCCTTCTCGCAGTAATCTTGTCAAATCAAGTGAAAGAATGAAGTCTAACAAAAGAACAGCACCATTTCTAGTAATAAATATCGACACGTTTGCTGCTCTTTGGCCCTGTATATAGGGTGTCAAAAAAAAGTGCATAACATGAAACATTTGAATAAAAAGGTGAATTCACGTACGATTTGGTTCATTTTATTTGTTTATTTGGTTGATGGCAATAAGGTGTAGACTACAATATCACTCAAATGTTTACCATAGCTTCGGAGGCAGACAGGTAGATAAAGGTGGCACCCTCACTTTGTCCAAATCAAATAAAAATATGCCTATAATTCAGGACTAATTAAAGACTAATTTGTACTCACAAAATTAGAATTTGTACGCGCTTAGTTCCGCCGGAAACACTGTTCCTGATTGAAGTTTTATTAGTTGCATCAAAAACTACGAATAAAGAGTGTGCTCAAATTAGATTTTCATTGTTTAAACAATTTATACAGTATTTAATTCTTAGATTAAATGCAACGTATAAATTAAATCATTTCTCTTTTTTATTCTTTCTTTTGTTTTCCTTTGTCTTTTTTTTATTTAAATACTTTTAACATATTTTTTTTTATATTCCTTATAATTTCGAATAGTTTTTTTTTTAATTAATACATGAACATTGTTATTGGGGCAACCTGTTATGTTCATAGATAAAAAATAAATAAATAAATAGACTAATGTGTACCATCAGACATTATTTTGTAAACAAATAGCCAGGGCGGATGTTGGGAGGCCATACAGAGATTGAAAGAATGCACTCTGCTCAATTATTAAGGATCCTCGAGATCGTTTATAATTTTGTATTGCTGTCTGTGTGTCTGTCCGTGTACCTTTCTGTCCGATATAGGTCAGGTAATTTGTGGATTAGTGTGAATGATTTAGATGAAACCGCGAATTTAAGTCAAAACCTACCTCGAGTTGAAACGACCATCCTTTTTTTTAAATCTTAATGGTCCTCTTCAAAAAAAAATGGGCGATGACTTGATGAGATTATGAGTACCTTCTCCCCGACACAAAAAGGACACGACCAGGCACAATAAAGGTGTGATTCATCAGCAACTTCGATTTGCCAATAAGCTGACTTAGTGACAAGGGAGCTAAGGTACTTGACCTCCCTCTAAGATGGTGCTAATGTAAGGCAAAAGAAAAGCATCTCGCTCAGTAGTGAATTTAATTTACGGTATTTACACAAAATGTGTAGGTTTGATCTTTCTTAGGAATCAAACAGGTGAATCCCATCCTGTGCTTGATGGTTCAATAACTCGATCTCTAAGCATCTCGTCGGTATGGTCGCGTTGATGATCTTTTGATTAATCGGATTGACTGGATAGCGCACCGTTGCATATTGGGGGTAGCACCCTCCACCAAACGTTTGTCATGTTTACCTACTGGAATCAAACCTAATTTGCCTCCCATGAGTGAAAATTTTTGTTCTAAGTGGGTTTGTAGGGAATGGTGTTGTTCAGTAGTGAGACGAGTTCGTTCCACACTCGGTTGCGTAGGCGTGTATGAAGTAAAATGCCAGCAATAATCGCTAATATTCGGAATAATTTCCATCCTATACCAAAGATCTATCCCCCAGAATTAAATTAGTCATGTTAAATATCACCAACAAATCCAAAAAACAGAGTGGTCTTTTAGGGGGGTAATTGGCAAGTCTCGCCAGTCGGATCACCACCATTGCAGCAGGCAGTTGTGTGAGGGGGCACCGTCAATGAAAAAAAAAAACGTAAATAATCAAATACTATAATAACTTTTGCACAATCTGTGGTAGATTTTTACCAGTTTTACAAATCTCCCCTTTCTTTCCCCAAGACCAGCTCTTTAAATCATCGTAAACCGACTTCCTTAATGGTTCATTTAACTTTTTACAAATGTCACACCCTTTACGAACCTCTACAATTTTAAACTTTTTCTTCCACTCAAAGTATTTGAGGTATTCGGTCATGTTTTTGTCCAGATGCATTAAGTAGTCAGTCAGCTGTTTGACTGTGTCGAAGTCGGCGACATTAATCACAGAGTAAGGAGGAGCACTCAAACTATAATTCCCCGCACCGTACACAATCGGAACCACGTTCTTCTTAAGCACGTTGTATAGCTTTTCAGTCGAGTAGTCTTTGCAGATAGAATTCTCGAACGACAGATAAAATTTATAAGTGTTCTCCAACATCTCGTAGCACTTCGGCGATGAAAGCTTGTTCCCTCGCGCCTTCTCACATTTGAGGGTGCCGCACTTCCCGTAAATGTCGACAGGTAAATACTTCTTCATTTCTTCCGCCAGTTTCTCTCGTTTGCTCGACGTTTTGCAGTGGCTGGCGAACCAGGCGACCAGCTTGGTCTTCTTCTTGATCACTTGGACTGATGGTAAACTGTAATTATTCGACTCATCCTTGACGAATGCGCCATGTCGAGAGATTATGTCCGAGTCGAAGCGATAAGTCATTGACCAGTTGTAAAACGAGTTGAATTTTGCAAAATTCGGTGCGATATATGCTGGTGCTTCCACGTTGTTAAAAATATAAACTTGTCTTTCGCTGCGTCGGCTTGGCTTACCGTCTTTCTTTGGGTTATATGTCGAAACGTGAAAGATTATAGCATCAAATTCGTCAGTTGGTTTGAATGTCTTGTTATCCGTGGCAAAGCAATTCTTGTACTCGCATGTTCTAAACGGTTCCGCACCGAACCCTATATAGTAATCCTTTCGCCCCCAAAACGGGTTCCAATAAAGGATTGACTTTGGAATAGGATCAGTGACTTTTTCAACCTTGTGTGATGGCATATAATTTAAACTGTATTTGTAAAGCGTCAAAAAAATTACTGTTATTGCTAGCAACAGAAGGATAGTTCTTACTTTTCTCATTCCGAAGTAATTAAAACAAATACGACTATCACTATAATAAACCTTTTTACACTCACATATAATCGATTTTACTTATCTTACCTGTACAGTATCAGAAAGATAAAATAAGTCGATAAAGAGTGCAATAATTTCGTTCCGAATGGGAACAATCCTACACTATTTGTTCGTGCAAATATGAAATGTGAATGCCAGAAATAATTGTCCATTCTCAAACCTGACAGTTGGGAGAAAATATGCTGGCATCAAAAGATGGCAATCTGGTAGTTTACGAACTTTGAAATCCAGCAAACCGCTTCTAGTTTAATTTAGCTATTTTCTTGTATAGGTAACTAGAAATGATCGCATCCCCTTTACAGGGATTTTAAACAGATTAGTTAGGACCAAACACCGATTTCAACCATCAACGACCGAAAAATGTGACCAAAACGCGTTTCGGCCACTAGCATATCACCAATGTTTAAAAAACCGCTTTTCGGCTGAATGTAGCTCAGAACGCGCTCTGAATCTTTTGCATTTGTACTACCAGAACGCGTCGACCACACAAACAAACTGCCCAATAACCTTTTTTTTGTGTCTTGATAGGGGTAGACTTGTCCTGAGAAATGTGGTAGCAAAAATAATAGTTATTGTAGATGTTTTGTTTTTTTTATTTGGATGAGGAAAAACCACGTTTACACATTTTTTCGTTTATGAAGTGATATAAGGGGTGCAAAATTTTTAAGTATATTTGTGTATTTTTTGACCGACGAATAAATAGCCGAATTATTTGCCACGAAGTTCATCTTCTTAGATGGGAGTAAAATTACTTAGGTGAGAATATTCACAAGCGAATTTACCAACTTGATGTTCCAAGAAGAGTTTTTTGAACAGGCAAATCTTCCGGAGCTAAAAAATCCGAAAACGGTGACAGATAGATTTTTTCGAATGCTTGCAAAAAAGTACCTGACAAGGTTTCAGACCCGACTAAATAATGTTGTTTATTTATTGTTTCACTGTTTAAATACATATTAAAGTTAAAAGTATACCAATTCGACATGCCTCAAGAATATTTTTTGCAGAAAATAAGGGTTGATTTAGTCGCGCTATTTTCCAACCAGAGGTCTGCAATTCTGAGGTTGGGTATTATTGGAAAAGTATTTGGCACGTTTTCAGAGTGCCTCAAATATATACAAGTTTATCATAGAATAAGGGATATATTTCAGATTATTATGTATTTTTAACAAACTAAGTTAACAACAGAATGTGAAATGAAATTAAGGTGGTAGTCCCAAAATTGGTACCCTTCTTTTCCAAGTCACCAAACTATTGCGGTCGGTGCGTTTAGTGCAGGGGAAAGTCATCAACATTTGCGTTATAGTTTGTTGCCCTTTTTGTACTGATTTATGCTCCCAATTTAAAAGTTGCAAAAACCGCAAAACGAATTTTTGCCTCATCTTAGCACATGGAACATAAGTTGCAAAAGTTGCCAAATGCACAGGACGGAAGAGATGCACACAATATACACATGGTGATAGCGAAAGTATAATTACAGAAACAATTACCAATCTGTACATAGCGTACTTGCAGCACAAATAAAAGAAAATACCTCTCAGTTTCCGTTAAACATTCGTTTTACTTCAAATGAAATTATTTGGCGTTAATTTAGGTAAACTGTAAAGTACAACTGGATTAGATAATCCAAAACGGCAAATTTTTTAGGTCGTGATATACATCCAAGCAGTCAGTGGTCTAAATTTCACCAGTCCCAGCGGGCAGTTATTTGGGGGGTGAGGACGTGTGGTGATAAAAACACACAAAATATGATTGAAATTGCGCTGTTAAAATTAAGAAAACAATTAAATACTATAATAATTTTTGGACAATCTGTGGCAGATTTTTACCAGTTTTACAAATCTCCCCTTTCTTTCCCCAAGACCAACTCTTTAAATCATCGTAAACCGACTTCCTTAATGGTTCATGTAACTTTTTACAAATGCCACACGCTTTTTTATTCTTTACAATTTTAAACTTTTTCTTCCACTCAAAGTATTTGAGGTATTCGGTCACGTTTTTGTCCAGATGCATTAAGTAGTCAGTCAACTGTTTGACTGTGTCGAAGTCGGCGACATTAATTACAGAGTGAGGAGGAGCACTCAAACTATAATTCCCCGCACCGTACACAATCGGCACCACGTTCTTCTTAAGCACGTTGTACAACTTTTCGGTCCAGTAGTCTTTGCAGATAGAATTCTCGAACGAGAGGTAAAATTTATACTTCTCTTCGAGCATCTCGTAGCACATGTCCTCTTGCGTCCTCTCACATTTGAGGGTGCCGCACTTCCCGTAAATGTCGACAGGTAAAAATTTGTTAATTTCTTCGGCTAATTTCTCTCGCTGGCTCGGCGTTTTACAATTGCTGGCGAACCAGGCGACCAGCTTGGTCTTCTTCTTGATCACTTGAACTGATGGCAAAGTGTAATTCGACTTATCCTCGAAGAATTCGCCATATCGTGTGATTATGTCAGAGTCCAAGCGATAAGTCATTGACCAGTTGTAAAACGAATTGAAATTTGTAAAGTCCGGTGGGTTAGTGGCTGGTGTTTCCATGTTGTGAAAAATATAAACTTGTCTTTCATTGCGTTGGTTTGGCTTACCGTCGTATTTTAGGTTATAAGTCGGAGGGTGAAAAATTATAGCGTCAAATTCGTCAATTGGTTTGAATGTCTTGTAGTTCGTGGCGAAGCAGTTCTTGTACTCGCAGGTTCTAAACGGTTCCGCTCCGAACCCTATATAGAAATCCTGTTTCCCCCAAAACACGTTCCAATAAAGGATTGTCTTCGTCATAGGATCAGTGATTTTTCCAACCTTGTGTAATGGCATATTATTTAAATTGCCTCTGTAAAACGTAACAGATGTTATTGCTGCTGAGAGGAAGCCCAACAGAAGGATAATTCTTTCTTTTCTCATTTTGAAAGTTATAAAAACTAAAACAACATCACTATGAACCTTCTCACACTCTCATTCGAGACTACCACTACAACATCATAAAGATAAAATGGATCAGTAAAATGCGCAATAGACAGAGAATAATCTTACACTGTAGTATGCGTATTGACTATAGAGCAATAGTGCGGCACGTTAATAGAAAAAAGTAGATAGAACTAAGAGAACTTAATTTCCATTTTTGAGCATGAAAACATTATTTTTACGTGGTTAACTCACTGTCATGTACGGATTGTCACCTGTCAGGACCCAGCCACCTGCGTTGAACTGTACGATTTTGACAGTGGGCTACGGTTGAATTGAGCATACCACAACACTATTTGTTCATGGGGAAACAGGAAATGAGAATGCAAGAAATAATTGTCATTCCCAAGCTTGCCAGTTTGAAGAAAATACGGTAGCATCCAAAGATGATAATCTGGCGGTTTACGAACTTTGAATTCCAACAAACTTCTCCTACTTTAGTTTAGTTAGCTAGGGGAAGTTCATATATCGGCTCTGAGTTTTTTTAATGCTTTAATTAGAGCTCTATCAACCTCAGTATCAGTTAATATCTTTGCTCTTTTTGTTGCTGTTTAATTCCTTGACCTTCCATGTTCCATATCCTTACCATTCCTTAATTCTTCCGAAAGCTCTCCTCGTTCTGTTTGCATTTCTTCAGAAACATCAGTAACTAGCGATGTATCCTCTGCCAAGCTAGATTCGGTGTTATCGTTTTCAAAAATATCTCCCGTCATTTCTCCATAATCATAAGTTCTGAAACGACGAGAATATATTATTTAAGTAAGCGTCTCATTTCAAGTTTTTAAAAAAGAAAAGAAAAAAGAAAGAAAGAGAAAAGAAAAAGAATTCGGAATAAACAAAAATAAATACGGTTTACGGTAGTAACGGTTATATACGATAGTTTTGAAGCAAGCATTTTTGCATATAATATTAGTTTCAGGAATGATTTATGGGGGTTTAACTGGATACACGAGACGAATTGGGGAGTAGCCGAGCGCGTATAGGGTCAGTTCTTTTGGACCACCAGTTCCGGTAAAATGTAGGGTAACTTAATTTTTTCAAATAGAAACCTTGAATATTCTTATTCTACATCGGAAAATAATAAACTTTCGTGGGAAACGTTTTTGTCTAAACTTATTATTTTTTGAAGACACTCTTCTAAAAGCGGTATTTTTGGATTGGGCTAGGAAGCTGTCCTGTCAAGAATTTGGCAACTGGCTTTTATAGAGTTTGAAAGTATTTCTGAAAAAATATCGTCAAGGCTTGTATAGTCCTTCATAATAAGTACGGGATAGAGACGAACAGACAAGTGATTACGATTATTATGTTAGTCACAAAGGATTCCAAGATTTACGCCAAAGTACACCACCTCAGGGTGGAAGACGTACTAACGATTTAAGATTTTCAGATTATTTTGTTAGCACTGACGGTTCATTACCGTGGCAGATGTCGAAAATATAATTTTAAATATCGTCGCGGAATTTTTTAACCAGTGGTGAACCACTACATTATATTGTGTGAAAAATTTGCGAATTTTGGTCAATGCGATATCGCGTACGATTTATCGCGCGCATCAAATCACGCAGTCGTGTATCGTCTACGATATATCGTTTATCGTTGCAGTATGAACGCCGCCTTAGGAAAAAAGTCATGCTTATGCAGGAGTTGCTAACGGTGACTCGAATCCAAGAAACGGGAAATTAAACAGGGTAATGGAAAAAATTAGTATGTATCTAGATACATAAGTAATAAGCAATAAACCATTGTTTCTATTGGCCATTTCTTCATGATTTATGATAATGATTGTATAATCATAAATATAGAGCAACTTTGCCCGAAAACCCGCTCACTTAAAAATAAAGTCACAAAATAAATAAGTAAATATAGCGCTGCCATTAAATAAAGTATGCCGAAAGTATTCTCATTTTGATTTTTGAGTGGTCGAATGAAAGTCAGCTGCAAGCCTTTGATTATTATTAAGAAATTCGTTAATAACTGTACCCATATTATCTCGATTTCTCAGACGAAAATGTGTTTATATGTATTATAAACCGATGCTTCGGATTGGGCGATCGGTACAGTTTTATTAAATAGTAATTAAAAACTAGTAGCTTCAATTAGTCACCCTCTCAATAAAAGTATTATAATAACTTCGGATGAACTTAGGAATGTGCACAGAGTGTTATGTCGTTAATTATTTGAATAAATTAACCACATAACAAACTGAATGTAAAGTTTGTTGAAATAATTATAGTTATTCAATTGATTGTAACTATGATACGATGTAAATATTTAGTTCGTCTGTCATAATTATAGAATATACGCGTTTTCAGTTTATTGCTCTAATAGTTTCAACATGGTAGCAGAGCGTGGTTCGCTTTAAAGGTTAACACGGTTGAAGTACTATGGAGCATCAAGGAGGAGGTATAGAAAAATTGAGAGGAACTGATAACTGGACGGTATGGAAATTCGCCATTCGGAATGTATTGCGAGCGTATACAAATACTTACGAGATATGTAATGGAGATCTCAGAATGCCAGAGGCTCTGAATGAGGAAGCTACTGCCGAGCAGAAAGCAGAATATATTAGAGACCTGAAGATTTGGGATAAAGCGGACAGAGTTGCTAGTCAAGCATTGGTCAAGGCATTGAAACCCAAAATAATGGCATTACTGGTGACATGCAATACAGCAAGACAGATGTGGATAAAACTTCATAGTATATTTGAGCAACAGACCAAACAAGCTGCTCATGCAGTACAGGCGGAGTTCTTTAGTTTTACAATGAATGAGAAAGATGATATGGTAACTCATATCTCAAAGTTCGAAAATCTTATTTTAAAAATGAATGCACTGAATGTGAAACAAGATGACATGTCTTTAGTAGTAAAACTTTTGGATACGCTACCAGATAATTATGATAACTTACGGCAGGCATGGTGGGCCAGACCAACAAAAGTTTGATAACCTGGTGAATGTACTAACATCCGAAGAATCGCGAAGAAAACAAAGACATCTACAAAGCGAGGCATCAGAAGAAAGTACAGGAGCACTACTAGCTGGTCGATATAGGAGCAAATCACAGATTTCACATAAAAAGAATACTGGCAAAGGTGCAACTACAAAGAAAACGTTTACTTGTTATGGTTGCGGAGGCAAGAATCACATAAAACTAAATTGTCCCAATCGTAAACAGAAGTTTTACAACGAGGAATCTGGAGAAAACGCTTTCATTACGGAAGTCTTGAATGCGGAGAATGACGAAGATTTTTGGATTGTTGATTCGGGGGCCGCTGATCATCTAATATATCATGGCGAGTGGTTCTCATCTTTTGAACAATTTAAGACGCCAGTCAAGGTCCACATTGGAAACAAGACATCGATGGATGCGTTGGGAAAAGGCGTCGTAGAAGTTAAAACTTTTGTTGATGGTAACATTTTTGATTTTCGAATGTTAAATGTTCTCTTTGTTCCAGCTGCTCGTAGAAATCTATTCTCGGCGACAGCAGCTTTAGACAAAGGATACGAGTTCAAATCAAATCAAAAGGAGTGCTTTTTCGTCAGTGATGGAAAAACAAAAGCTAAGGGTAGACGAGTTGGCCAGTTATTCACAATGATAATGAAGGTGAAAGTACCAGAGAATAGTTTATTACAATTAAGTAATACGAAAGAAACAAACGTGACTTCGAAATTGAAATCAATTCAAGAGTGGCATGAAATGCTCGGACATCAAAACAGAGTACAGGTCGAAAAAGTGTTAAACCGTAACGGAATCGAGTACACCAAACAAGATTTTTTTGTGAAGCATGTGTAAAAGGTAAGCAGCATCGCAAGGTTTTTCAACTACGACAACAACGTGCTCAACGAGAAGGTGAAGTCATGAATGTTGTGTGTTGTGTGGTCCTATGGAAATCACTTCGTATGGAGGATCGAGATATTTTATCTGCTTTACATGCGACTACTCAAAATTCCGATTGATCAAATTTCTTAAGGAAAAATCAGAAACTACAAAAGGAATTGCTGAAGTCTTGAGCAGAATGGATGTGCAGAACGCTTTAATCGCACTGTAGTCGAACTTGCAAGAACAATGTTAGCGGCGAAAGATTTACCTAAAGGATTGTGGGCCGAAGCAGTCAACACTGCTGTTTATCTGCTGAACAGAACGGGCCTAGTAATGAAAATCGTAAATCATCTCTTGAAATATTCACGGGCAAGTCTACACATTTAAACAAACTGCACGTTTTTGGTACTACATGTTTTGTACATAAGCCAAAGCAAGTACGAAAGAAGTGGGACCAGAAATGTCAAAAAGGTATTTTTGTTGGCTATTCTGAAGATATGGATTGTTTTCGTGTTTGGTTGAGTTCTACCAGGAAAATACTTCGTAGTAGAGAGGTTGTATTTGAACCAGTTAATTGTATGGACGATTCTAATGAAGAGAAAAACATATCAAAAATGATCGCACCTTTGATATTAACCTTGACGAGAAGCCAAATTACGTAGCAGAATATCCAGGAGAGAACAGATTTGTTCGGGAAAAAGAAATAGAGCAGGTAGGAAATGAAAATATTGATGCTGATAATGAATTGCAAGAATCGGAAGAAGATGGACAGCATCATGAAAATATTGATGTTGACAACGAATTGCAAGAATCGGAAGAAGAAGATGGACAGCATCAACCAAGATATAACTTTAGAAATCGAAGAAATCTTCATTGCACAAAACGATTAATTGAAACAATGATTGCTGAAGTAGATGAACCAAAGTCCTATCAAGAGGCAGTTGAATCACCAGAAAGTAGACATTGGAAACGAGCAATGGAGGAAGAAATGCAATTACTGATAGAAAACCACACTTGGATTTTGGTAAATTTACCACAAAACCGAAAAGCCATTACAAACCGGTGGACATTTAAATTCAAAAAGAAAGTTGAAGAGAAAGTCTTATCAGTAGAACACATTACTAGTGAGGATCAATTAGCTGACATTTTAACGAAACCACTTCCAACAAAACGTTTTGAAAGGATGAGAAGCTTGCTAGGGCTTACTACAAATATGTAAACCAATGATATAATATAAACTAAAGATTTAGGAGGGAATGTTGAAATAAATATAGTTACCTATTCAATTGATTGTAACTATGATACGATGTAAATATTTAGTTCGTCTGTCATAATTATAGAATATACACGTTTTCAGTTTATTGCTCTAATAGTTTCAACAAATATATGATGAAAATTAATTGAGACTCAAAAATTGTTTATTTTCTAACGGCTATCGATTTCGACGATAAAGTCATCTTCAGGCCGAGCTGAAAGATTTTACATGAAAAACGTGTATAAAAACAAAAGTCTAGTTACCGTTTAAATTATACAATTGTACATAGTATGCTGAGAAAATTGCGGAGACAAGAACATTGAAATTTTTTATATATTATTATATTACATGAACATATAATAATATATAAACAATTTCAATGTTCTTGTCTCCGCAATTTTCTCAGAATACTATGTACAATTGTATAATTTAAACGGTAACTAGACTTTTGTTTTTATACACGTTTTTCATGTAAAATCTTTCAGCTCGGCCTGAAGATGACTTTATCGTCGAAATCGATAGCCGTTAGAAAATAAACAATTTTTGAGTCTCAATTAATTTTCATCATATATTAATAATCACTCAAACATAAAATGGAGTCCTTCTTCAACAAAGTTTCAACAAAAAGTTTTTGTGCGTTTAGTTCTGGAGAAAGTCATCAAGATTTTCTATAAGATTCCCAGTTAACGTTTCACTTCTCATACTGTAGCAATTACGTTGAATCTACTTGTTGCCCTTTTTGTACTGATTTGTGCCCCCAATCTAAAAGTTTGTGGGCTTCTTTTCAACAAAATAAAAAAAATCGGTTGGGAGTGGTGATCGTTTGTGTGTCCATTCTAAATTGTGCGTTTTGGGTTTGGGTTAGAAGAAACTATACAAATACAAATTGATATAGGAGCTTCAGTTTAGAAGATATTCAAAAGTTCTCAAACGTACGTTGTAGTATACCCTCTTCATTTTGAGCACAACTTAGATAATTCTTTTTTGTGCTGGTTTCGTTAGTCAAACTACTTTTGATTGTAGGTTATGAAAGTGTTAACAGGTTACACAGATCAGTCAGGAAAACTATGAACGGTTGCACGTTAAAATTACCATCTTCTTTACTTTCAAGCTAGCTATGAAAGAAGCAAAATTTAAGATAGCTTTCCAGAGATAGGATAAAGGAACTCTTTCATGAACAAGAATACGAAGGAAGTCTGCATAAAAACTATTCTATAAACTGTGTGAAATTGTGTGAATGGAGTGAGGTGATAGAAGCACAAAAATTATTGATATCGCACTGTTAAAATTATGTAAACCATCAAATACTATAATAACTTTTGGACAATCTGTGGCAAATTTTTACCAGTTTTACAAATCTCCCCTTTCTTTCCCCAATACCAACTCTTTAAATCGTCGTAAACCGAGTTCTTTAATGGTTCATGTAATTTTTTACAGATGCCACACGCTCTATTTTGTTTTACAACTTTAAACTTTTTCTTCCACTCAAAGTATTTGAGGTATGCGGTCACGTTTTTGTCCAAATGCTTCAAGTAGTCCGTCAGCTGCTTGACTGTGTCGAAGTCGACAACATTAATCACAGAGTGAGGAGGAGCACTCAAACTGTAATTACCCGCACCGTACACAATCGGCACCACGTTTTTCTTGAGCACGTTGTACAACTTTTCGGTCAAGTAATCGTTACAGAAGGAATTCTCGAACGACAGGTAAAATTTATACTTCTGCTCGAGCATCTCGTAGCACTTGTTGTCCCCTTTCCTCCTCTGACACTTGAAGGTGCCACACTTTCCGTAAATGTCGACAGGTAAATACTTCTTCATTTCTTCCACCAATTTCTCTCGCTTGCTCGGCGTTTTGCAATTACTGACGAACCAGGCAACCAGTTTGGTCTTCTTCTCGATCACTTGGACTGATGGCAAAGTGTAATTCGACTTCTCTTCGATGAATTCGCCATATCGATTGATTATATCCGAGCCTAAGCGATAAGTCATTGACCAGTTGTAGAATGAGTTGAAATTTTTAAAGTTCACTGTGTTAGTGACTGGTGTTTCCATGTTGTGAAAAATATAAACTTGTCTTTCGTTGCGTCGGCTTGGTTTACCGTCTCTCCTTGGGTTATAAGTCGGAGTATGAAAGATTATGGCGTCAAATTCGTCGATTGGTTTGAATGTCTTGTAGTTCGTGACGAAGCAGTGCTTGTACTTGCATGTTCTAAAGGGTTCCGCTCCGAACCCTATTTCGAAATCCTTTTCACTCCAATACGCGTTCCAATAAAGGATTGTCTTCGGGATAGGATCAGTGACTGTTTTAACATTGTCTGATCGCATATAATTTAAACTGTATTTGTAAAGCGTAACAAAAATTACTGTTGCTATCAACAGAAGGATAATTCTTACTTTGTTCATTCCGAAGTAATTAAAATCATACGACTATCACTACCATAAAACACTTTCCACGCACTTTTACACCTACATATAATCGATTTTGTTTACTTATCTTACTGTATATCGTATGATAAAGATAAAATGAGTCAATAAGGTGTGTAATAATTTCGTTCCGAGTGAGAACAATCCTACACTATTTGTTCATGTGCAAATATGCAATGGGAATGCAACAAATAATTGCCCATTCTCAAACTTGCATTACCTACTCGCCGGGAAATTCATTCCCTTTATAGGGAGTGAAATTACTTAGCTGAGGATATTGACAAGCGAATTTACCGACTTGATGTTCCAAGAAGAATTTTGAACAGGCAAATCTTCCTATCCGAAAACGGAAACAAATACATTTTTTTGAATGCTTTCAAAAAAGCACCTGGCAGGGTTTAAGACCCGACTAAATAATGTGGCTTATTCACTGTTTCACTGTTTAAATACATATTAAATTGAAAAGTATAAAAATTTCGAAATGCCTCAAGGATATATTTGCAAAAAAATATAAGGGTTGACTTAGCCTCGCTACTTCCCAGCCAGAGATCTGCAATTCTGTGTTTGGGTATTATTGGGGAAGTATTGGACAAGTTTTCAGCGTGTTATACAGAGGGCTTTCAGAGTATTAAATTTAGAAATTTCGAAAAATCCTCGAACATGTCAATTTTGTATTCGAAAGGGACTTGTGCAGTGCATTACTTTGCCACGTTTATGTGCACTTATAGTCCTAATCCCGCAGCTCACAACTTTTTTGTGCAAGTATACGTATAAAGAAAATGCTTTGTGGGTTAGTTACTTGGGTATGTAGGAAGTAAAAAAAACTTGGATGGACATTCCCTACCCCCCACGTATTCTTGACTTGACTGTAACCCTCAGCAGTATTTGAAAGGTTTTGGTGTATCACTTTCAACGCTCCAGACCGCGACAAACTCAAGGCACTTGCCTAAGAGTACTTAGGCCAGTTGTTAAAGAAAGGTTCGTCCTGCAAGACACTTGATATTAGTTCCGGTTATGGAAGCATCTCAATTGTTCAAATATGTTTCTTGATGAGTTATTTTCAACAAGTACCAGTACACATCAGGGTACACCTTCTTCGTGCATTACACACCTATGCAATGGTCCATTGCCTCGACAAGAAACCCATTCATCTTTTATCAGACGACTATACGTTGGGGCATGTACGGTCATAAAGTGCCTGTCGGCAATTTCTATGTACAGACACGCCGAAATTTGTTTGTTTTGCAAATGCAACAGGAAATAAAAACTTTCAACTTCGAGTTAAAGGCAATGATTTTGAATAGGTTTGTGGTGTTATTTTTACAAAGTTACTATTTTTATGGGTTTAGAATTTTCTCATGTGATAATATTGTAACGTGATTTATAAATTCGGGTTCGATTTATATCAATATTTATTAAACAAAACTAAAACACTATAAAAACCGTACAATTTATATCGATTATTTATATCACACACTTCGCAATTTATATTTCCGCGCCCGATGTTTCATATGTACTCGATCTCGTTCGATAGTAAACTGCCGCGATGTTCGGTCCGCAACCATTTATACACGCAAGCAATGTAAGTCCAGCACATTCGCGTACAGTCTCGAATATTCCTACACAAATCCCACTATCGCGCGCGTAGAAAATTCCAGAGCGCCAAAGGTGACGTCATGTCTGGAGCGTTTCCGTTACAATATGATTGACCGTCATTAACAAATGTATTGCAATAAATGGTGAAAATATGTACAAACTAATAATTATTAGCTGTATTATCCTCCATCATTTTATATTTTCATCACCTAATAAAATAATGTAGAAAATAGATAAAATAAGAGCAAGACTATTCTTTTTATCAAGTAACTAGAGAAATAAAAAAAACATATTCAAAACTGCTGTCTATAGCAGAAAAATGAAAAAGTGATTCTTCTGGACTAATATTTTGACTTGTCAAAAAGTTAGTAATAAATAAAGTGTAGATAATTTTACGCTGAACTTCAATCCTTTTTCGATAAATGGCCACGCAAACAGGATAGTACTGGAAAATTGCGGCCATTTTGAATGACGTTATACTGAAAATACGTGGGGGGTAGGAAATGTCCACCCAAGTTTTTTTTTTGCTTTCTATACACCCAAGTAACTAACACACAAAGAATTTTCTTTACTTGCACACGGAAGTCTTTTGAGCTGCTGGACTATCCGGGAGGTAGCGTCAAATTTGACCAGACTATTTTACTGAGGCTGGATTTTTTAGTGCAAGCTTTCATGATATTATACTGAGGATAAATTCTAATGTTAGCTGATCCAGATCCGTGACTTAAGATTATGAGTGGCTGCAGATTTCGTGAGAAAACAATGATTTTCGGGGTTTTTTAATGGGGCTGATAATAATTTTCAAGGGAAGTTTCATCACGAAAAAATATGTTAACTGAAAAAATGCTGTGGTTTAATCTGTTAGCTGCGCGCATGAGTATGTAAGTGGAATTGGAAAAATCGAACCAGTTTACTGAGGCTATCGGTATAAAGGTAGGTGTTCGCTGGGTACTCAGGTATGATTCAAACCTGGTAGATGCGCTTTCAAAGTGCAGCGCGCGGTCATTGGATTACCATATGTGCTGCTAGAATATAAAGTTTACATTTAGTACAGTCAAATTGGAGTAAAAAATTCCTCGATCTGGTCAAATTGCAACACCAAATGGTTCTTTTTGCACGATACCGTGAGAAGTATTTTTTCGTGAGGAAAATTCCCTTAACTAACAATCTGAAAATTATCAGCTTCAGTATCTTCAACCTCCATAATCTCAAGTCACAGAGTCGCGACTCGCGTCAGCTAAACACATATTTACTTTATTTTTCAACAAACTAATGTTTACCAGGCTGTAAATTCTCAGTAATATCGCCCTTGAAAATTTGATTGTACCTCCCGGACTTATTAGTGCAGAAGGAATCAAGAAGATTCCAAGTTAACGTTCCTCATACTATAGCAATGACTTGGAATCTGCTTTATAGTTTGTTGCCCTTTTTATACTTACACATGATTTGTGCTTAGAACAAACTTTTGTATAGTTAATACAACTTACCCTTTTCGTTTAGAGAAAAACTTACCTACGTTAGACAAGCTACGGTTGAGTGCAGGTTATGAAAGTTTTATAGTTGTTGTATAGTACTGTCACTTACACCAAAAAATCTTTCGTTTCTCGTTCCTGTATTAATGGGTCATCAAGTTTCAGTCCAAAAGCAATCCAAAATAGGTGTGATCCTACATTGTAACAAACCAATACAAATACAACGGAATATCGAAGGATTCCCAGTACCTATTACATACCATAATTTTTTTATCGGCCATTTTAACCTTCACGAAAAGTGAAAAGGCATTGAAGGCGGCTTTCCGGAGAAAAGATAAAGCACGAATAAGAGAGCATATAAACGACAAATTTGTGCCGAATTTGAGGATTTAGCCCATGACGTATAGACAAATCCAAGCAGTTAGTGCTGTTAGCTGGTTTAAATTTCACCAGGCATCATCATTCTAGCGGTCAGTTTTGAGAGGGGGTGAGGTGACAAACTACACAGAAATGATTGAAATCGCACTGTTAAAATTAAGTAAACAATCCAATACTATAATAACTTTTGGACAATCTGTGGCAGATTTTTACCAAATTTACAAATCTCCCCTTTCTTTCCAAAATGCCAACTCCTTAAATCGCCGTGAACCGAGTTCCTTAATGGTTCATGTAATTTTTTGCAAATGGCACAAGCTTTAATCACCTTATTTTCCTTTACAATTGTAAAGTTTTTCTTCCACTCAAAGTATTTGAGGTATTCGGTCACGTTTTTATCCAGATACTGTAAGTAGTCAGTCAGCTGCTTGACCGTGTCGAAGTCGGCGACATTGATCACAGAGTGAGGAGGAGCATACAAACTGTAATTACCCGCACCGTACACAATCGGTACCACGTTTTTTTTAGCAATTTATACTTCCCCTCGAGCATCTCGTAGCACTGTTGCGTTGAAAACTCATTCCTTTGCGTCTTCCCGCATTCGAGGGTGCCGCACTTCCCGTAGATGTCGACAGGTATAAACTTCTCCATTTCTTCCGCCAATTTCTCTCGCTTGCTCGACGTTTTGCAGTGACTAACGAACCAGGCGACCAGCTTGGTCTTCGTCTTGACCAGTTCAACTGATGGCAAAGTGTAATTCGACTTCTCCTCGATGAATTCACCATATCGAATGATTATATCAGAGTCGAAGCGATAAGTCATTGACCAGTTGTAGAACGAATTGAAACTGGCCAAATCCAGTGGGTTAGTGAGTGGTGTTTCCATGTTGTTAAAAATATAAACTTGTTTTTCGTTGCGTCGGCTTGGCTTGCCGTGGTATGTTGAGTTATAATTCGGAGGGTGAAAGATTATAGCGTCAAATTCGTCAATTGGTTTGAATGTCTTATTATTCGTGGCGAAGCAATTCTTGTACTCGCATGTGCTAAACGGTTCCGATCCGAACCCTATTTTGAAATCCTTTTGGTTCCAGAATGTGTTCCAGTAAAGGATTGACTTTGGTATAGGATCACTGACTTTTTTAACCTCATTGTATGATAGCATATTTTTTAAATTGAATTCGTAAAGTATAATTACGGTCGCTGACAGGCAGCCCAACAGAAGGATAATTCTAACTTTTATCATTTCGAAAGACGGTAGACTTAAAGATTAAAATGAATCAGTAAAGTAAGGTATTCTATTTTATACATTAGAATGTTTCTATTGTAGGCATCTAGGTTTTCATGACGAACAAAAGATGACAGGGTTGTTTATAACGTACAATTCTTAGATACCTGTATTATTTATTTATATATTATATGACTTACCTATTTGTTTTATTCGTATGAGTTTTCACGTTCTTTGTTTTTTGTGTGTTATTTGAAATGAAAAATATTTGGGGTTTGGGTATTGAACTTCTTAAATCAACAGATAACACTCCTACATTCTAAATATATACCTCCACCGCAAATTTCTCAAATGTCAATTTATTACCTTTTATGTAAAAGTATGTCTATTGACCCAAGACTATAAGCTAGCGAAGTCAAAAAGAACGCACTAAATATATTTAAAACTGTACGAGTAATTAAGGCCGACAGACAAACGATACGGGCAGATGGGCGGGCGGACGGAATCACCAAAAATGAAAAATAGGTAACACCGTTTTTTATGATTTAGCTCTTATATTTCTAAGATCTCAATGGTGCATATCTTTTAGGTTGTGCCTACGTGTAAAAGTACCAATCCAATTGCATTTGGGCATTGAATAAAAAATTCAATGACTTGGGGGAGTAAATTAGTTCTGAGAGTAAAAACTAATATTTGCATAAGTAATCTCCCATGAGATATTATAGTACTTAATTGTAATTACACTCTTGTATACATTCTGTTGCATCATTTATATGAAAAGTCCCTTGAAATTTATATCTGTGACCGTGGGTTTGAGTAGGTTAAACCTATGTAATTAAATAATGTGAAAATACAAGAGCATAACACTTTTAATAGAGCATATGGTCGCTGATCAATTAGCGACTAATAAGTTTTACCAAATATACTGTTTATTGAAAATGAAGCGACAGAATGTGTTTTATTATAGGATAATGTATTTACCCGATGATTAAACACGAAATTGTGATAACAATTGCGTGCGTACCCCTATGGATTATACCTATATAACACATTGTCAAAGAAATAAATTGGACAATATTCAAATTGGCATCCTCGTATAACACAGAACAGGCAAAATATCTGTTTAGTTTAGACAATAAATAAGCGGTAAAAATTCTATTTCCGTAGTAACCAAGAGGCGTTTATTCAATTTCCTTTTTGTGCCGGCGCCGTTAAATCGTTAAACGAAAATTGTGAGCGCATTTTCCCTGCTTGCAGATTCGAGATGTTCAACTGGAGGATAGTGAGCTTAATTCTTCTCATCGTTATTGCGATCGTCACCTCTCAAGATTTGGAACTGTTAGCGCGACCCATACGACCGGAGAAATTTACCAGTCATGGTGAATTACAAGATTATCTTCAGAAATTAAAGGCTTACCACCTACAAAATGGACACAGGTATATATTACTATATTTGCATTTTTTTATTTCAACTTGTGTCGAATCATGTAGGTATGTTTGCGAGCATTCCAGACTTGTAAGTATCAGACTACGAAGAAAAGAAACTTTGTTAAAGTTACCTGATATTGTTCTTAACTAGTAGCACAGATTTAAACACTTTAAATCTGTGCTAGTAGTAAAGGTAATCGCTGATGGCTACATTCACCGAACATAATTGTTACTAATTTACACTATGCTTTAAGCAAAGAATGTTTTATTATTAGCTTTAAGTGTATAGATGCTAACTCAAAAATTGCAAATTGCGCATACGTAGCTTCAACTGCAGATATGTAGTTTGAGAATTGTAGGTATTCCGGACTGCTCTTTGTTGTTTGGTACCACATTTTCATGTTTCAACTTAAACCTCTACACAATTACTCCACCGTTTCTGCATAAACAAATACCTACATACATACCTACCTTAAAAAAATGTTTTAGTAGTTCTTCAAAATAATCACTGACAGCAACTATCAGATCAGCATCGCGTCGTTTTTCTCTCAGGGTGCCTCTTAAACTTTCCTGAAGTATCCATCAAATTTTCTCAAGTTCGCTTCAAATAATCTTCACGTTCTCCTCAGGCTCCTCTCAAGTTTCTCCTCATGTTACTCTCACATCTTTGTCGCTCATCAAATTTCTTTCACGCTCTCATCGGACTTCTCTCAATTTCCATATAAATTGCTCTCAAGTTGTTCTCAAGTTCCTATTCTCGAGTCGGGTTTCCTTCTAATTTCCTTTAAAAACTTCTCAAAGTACCGCATCAAATTTTCCTAAAATACATTACTCTTCTCTATTTCCTCTTTAAATTTTATCGAGTTCCCTTTCACGTATTCCTCAAATTCCTTTCTCCTCTTAAGTTTTTCTCAATTTTTTCAATTGCTATCATTCTCTCAGATTCCTCCTTCATACCCTCGCTGGTTCTTTTCAATTTCTCACACTATCTCTTTAACTTCCTATCGGGTTTCCCTCATTAATCTTAAAATGTTTATTCCCGCTTGCTCTGAAATTTTTATCGAGTTCCTCCAACGCTCTTTTCTTCTATCAACCGGGAACTGCGAACTTTTACAGTGCATTATTTTCCCAGTCTTGAACTGTTAACTAAAATTATTTCTACTGTAAAATATTCAGCTTGAAAGTGAAGAAAATGTTGCTTTTAAACTCAAAATTCGAGAACATTTGTAGCATATCTGCTCCAAAATTGAATTTGTAAGTGAAACTCGAAATATTTACTTATTACAGTTATTACTCTAAAATGGTGGCCTTGATTTTTGAGTTTTAAAAATATTGTGGAAGGACCACTAAAACTTTTTATGCTACATCTACTCTAAATTTTAGTTTTCAGCTTAGAAGTGAAAGAAATAAAGTCCTTATATCCAAAGTTTGATTTAAATTCGAATATTGGTGGTAGTTCTGGTCAAACACTAGACTTTTAACCCTGCTTTTAACACAAACTTGAATTTAAGAAGAGGTTGAAGGGTCACTAAAAATGATATCAAAATTTTACAGATCTCATCAGGTTATGGGCCCAGTATTACGCGAAATTCTTTTTGGTGGAGCTTCGTTGTAAGCAATCGTAACGGAAATGTGTCTTTAGTTTTAGAAGGAGATTTATCATGAAAGTTTCGCGAGTTTTTATAGATAAATTGGAGAGCCATTCTAACTGGGTTGATTGGAAATTCCTTGTCATGTAAATGACTGTATGGACATAGTGGAAGATAAGGCAGCGCTGAACTGACTACAGATGCAAAGCCCAAGGTTAGCGAGTCAAAGGAAGCACTCAAGAAGCTTGAATTTATTGCTCAGAATATTATTGTATTGAGTTTGTCAACTCAGGTACGACAATTGATAAATATGTCTACGACTAGCAAGGAAATTTGGGAAAAATTGCATTCAGTTTATGAGCAGAGATCAGAGAAAGGGCAAGATTGCCTTTTCAATGGTTTTTTTTAGTATAAGAGGAAAGGAATCTGCGGATTCGATTGCCAAACATCGCTAAACTCGAAAAGCTATGGACAGAAATTCCAGACGAGACTTGGAAGGAGAACTAGATAAAATTGCCAAGTTCCCTGTTCCTGAATCGTGTTTTGAACACGATACCTGCCGAATACCATGAATTTATTAATGGTTGGGAGTAAATACCTAAAGAAAATCGAACGTTGGATAAATCTTCGGGAGAGGTTATGTGTTGTTGAGCAGCTCAATGATAGAAGCTTCTTAAATGGTTCTACCAGTAAAAATAAGCCCAACAAACCCCTAGCAGGGGAATGATCACGGTAAGGGCGGTGGGAGTGGCGACAAGTTAACGAAGTTTGTCTCAAAATGTTAGAAATGTGTCGAGTTAGGCATTTATAAGCGGTACTGTAAGAATTCCAAGTCTGAGAAGAGTCAGGAAGGGTCCGCGTTTGTTGCCTAATTGGATATCGTCAAATCTGTAGATTCCCCCAATGTTGTAGTGCAGATTCCGGTACATGACCATAAACCGTAATTGGTTTTCTACTTTTGAGGTGTTTTTCCCAGAGAAGTACGTTCAAGTCGAATATGGCTAATCAGTGAAGACGTTTGGAAAGGGCATTGTCAAGATTGAAATAATTGTCAAAGGAAAGATTTGCCGTCGGATTTTCTTTCCCGAAAGATGGATTTTCCTAGCGTAATGAAATGGGCAATGGTGAAACGACTCGAACTGCATAAAGGGAACTCAGGACTATGGAATTTTGTACAAGCGTCGTGGTGATGATCTTAAAGCATTTTGTGATGCCGACTACGGCGAGGACCGAGAAACAAGGAAATCAACACCCGGAATCTTGTTCAAGTACGCTGGTGATCCCATTACTTGGTCCAGCAAATTGCAGAAACGCTGATCTACGTCTACAATCCAATCAGCGGTAAGTTTGGTTGTGGGGACGCTAGCTTGAAGACAAGGATTCTTGATGAAATGGACTACAAATCAAAGCGCCATTACTAATCTAATGAAGAATCCTGTTTTCCACAGCCGCACAAAGCATATAGACTTCAGTAGGATGTTCATCCGTGACAGTTTGGATTCTGGTCAAATTAGAATTGAGTGTGTGCCTTCAGATGAACAAGGGGCCGATTTGTTCACAAAACCACTCACTAGACAACGCTTCGAGAGCTTTCGTAGCATCATTGGAGTAAGTGAAGTGCGTGTTTGTGAGTGAATGGTGCTTTCTATTCTGTAAACACTTGATTTTTAGGGGAAGTGTTGATGGAAAAATCCAATAACCAGTCGTTAATGATTTCGAATGTTACTTAATGTGTTGCTATGAAAGTGATAGATATTGAACACTGTCATCTTGCCTTTTGCCGTGTTAAATTGCATTTCTTTTTATCATTAATTACAAATGTTTACCATTCAATTCGTGCAAGACTTCTTTATTTATTTAACCACAGATCTCATTACTTTTCTGTTTGGGAACTGTACCAATAGTATGCCATCTAAAACCTTTATATGTACTTACTTACCTATACTTGGACTACGTACTAAAATTGACACAATGATTTCTTTACTAGGATGCATTATTGTGAATACTTGTGCAACCAATTACTAATGTTAGTTCTCATCAGCAGGTATGGCAAACGATTCTACGCTCCAGCTGAAAACAAACTACAAAAGCAATTTCTACCAGAAAATTGGCAAGACATCTACGAAATTGTTAAGCACTACGAAGACAATTAACACTTGATTCGTTACCTTTTGATTTCTTCAGTATAAATATAGGTATCATGTATAAACGTTTAATTCTGTATTAAATATTTTATACGTACCTTATACGTATTATTAATTGTTGCTATGGACTACGGTTACTTCCCTATTTTTTTTAAAAAGGTATACATTTTTTTGTAATAGTTAAGTTCACGTAAGTTTCAATCCAAACATGTACGTAGGTAGATGAATCAATAAAATGAAAACGTAACGAAATTTCTTTAATAAACGTCAATTACACAAATCTGTTTAATGTGACATACCTCCCCTTCGTATACGTTTTCATTGACCTTTTTCTTGTATTTCAAAACTCAGAGAAAAGGTTTTCCTTAAACTAGTCCTCCCGAGCGACACTCCAATCCGTACCAAAGTCCACGACATAAAGTTTGTCTTTGATGGAGGCAACTCCACATTCCACCTTCCTTTTAATTAGGAGGTCATATATGCTTAGATACTTAATTCTATCTTGAGGAAACCGTTTACTTGACCGCCACTTTAACCCACAAATGACTGTATTTTTGTCGTTAAGGGTTTATATCTTGGTATACCTTATGCAGAGAGTATACCTATCTTTGATTTATTTGTACTGTACCACTAAGGCGCGGTGTTGTGTCTTTAAAAAATATTGAATAAAACCATAATTTAAGGCTTTTATATTGATAAGCTTTGAATATAGATGTATTATACGTATTGATTATATAATCAAGGATTGATAGCATTACCTACATACTTTGTGTAGGTAATATAAATTAGGGATAAAGGTACAAACGAAATTAATAAAAATGTTTTATAATAACCCCATCCGGGAAACGACTGCGCAACTCAAAATCAGAAATCAGAACTGCCGCCAAACCAACTGGAACCCATGGCACATGATCGACAAGTAACAAACGGTCTAGTGGTAGGCCCTACGTTGGGTGTGAAAAAGGAGCTGCCCGAGGATGTGTGTCTGACGCTGTAAGGATTAATTGAAGAGACATAAATAAAAGAAAAGAGAAGAGTGGAATTTAAAAAAATCAAGTAAAAGTTCCCCTCTCATGACTGAGATTAGCTCTTGGGTCTTCATCGGTTACAAGGAAGGGAAAAAGAGCGATTGGAAACCTTTCAGAGTATGTACTCACTTACTTTCTTATTTCCTTTCCAATTTGCATTTAACAATTCTACATTATAATAGTTTTCAACTCGGTTTTCAACCTGTACGACAACATCGGAGAATTTTATTTCGTAATCGTGACTATAGGTACCTACAGCGATAGTGCTCCTCTCTTAACATATACATACGTATCAAAAACTAGAATATGTCCCAAATTGCATTAATACCCTGTAATAATCAATAATAATCAATCTAACTCCGAAGTCAAGACTGGATGAAAACAGAATTTAAGCTAAAGGAATTTTCCTAAACTCGTAATTCCTATAAACTTTATTGAAACAGCATTCTCAATTAAACTTCTAAGTACATGGTACATGAGAAAACTACGAGGAAAACTACATTGTGCGACATCTACAACAAATAATCAAAGCTAACTGTACCCTTACATACAGCCCTTTTACCTCAACTTTTAACTATTTACGAACATTGCACATTGCACAATGACAAATACAAATTTATAAAGCAAACGATCGATATAAAGACATATTCTTCTAATTCGACTTGGAAAGTCCAAAATAGTAAGAAATATTCGATATAGCAGGGGTATCCTCTTTCCTTTAAATTTATTATTTATTGGAATTGTATCAGATCAATCAGACAGCATTCTTTTTATTTTGGCTTGGCAAATCCAAAACAGTAACAAAAATTGCAACCACATGTACACAACTAAAGTGTTATAGCCGAAAAGTTCAGAAAAAAAAGCGCTTTTTTTTCAAGTTTAATCAAAAAACGGCCTGTCTCAGATCGATCAAGAGGGTCTGGAAATTCCAACACGGTAAAAAAGAAGAAGACAAGAAAGATTCCAACCGCACAAATACATCCATCGTGATCCAATAAGTTTAGAAAAAGCAAAGGGTCAATGAAAAAAATTACAGTGGCTGGCACAGATACCGCCCGCACACCTGAGCTATCGTGATTTTGCCCTTTTATGTCAGAGGATATGTGTACCAAATTTGGTGCCAAACGGTTCAGTCGTTTAGCCAGAAATGAGAGTACAGGCAGGCAGACCGACAGACCGATCGATATCATGGAGATTTTATTTGATTCGGATGTCTGCGCTATATAATATAATGCAAAAAGAATCAAGACCTTAAAGAAATCCTCAGAAATATTGCATTTTTCTTCTTACAACATTTTCGAGATCACAATTAAGTTTTCACAGCGCTAGTAAACGTATCTCCTCTAGAACATCTTTCCACCCTTTGAGAGTAGGTACCTACCCTCCTCCAGCAATCCGCTCTTGAAATATAAAGGAATTATAACCATTCACCATTCAGGAACCCTGTTCGGGAGCGTTAAACAACAATTTACTCGTCAACATCTGTGACATCGCGCGTAAAATTCGCTGAAGCGATTCGAGGCGCTTGAAGATTTTTGAAAATTTTAGAATCGTGCCACGTCGAATATTTTTCACCAAACAATTAATGGTACTTTAAGCTTAAAGGAGTAGTACTTGTTTTTTTTAGACTGCTAAAGAGAAAAAATGGTGGCAACAAATAAGTAATAAATTGGTTTGAATGTTTTGTAGGATACTCACCGTGTAAAACGAGCTTTACTGATTTCCTGCGTGTGTAAACCCGCCGTTACTTTAACCTAAGTTTTTATTTACATAACCCTACTTTTGCACTTTAGCGCGTGTTTTACCTCGTTGTATTGTGTCTGTTTCTACAAGTTTTTTCGCCACTAATTTCCCGTAAGTATTTAAATCTAAACAATTTTTATAGTTTATTTCACTAGTCAGTACAATTTTAGAACAATATGGTTGCAAATACGAAAGGCATGAAGCGTAAATCATTGGCTCCACAAAACACATCCCCCAAAAAGACTTCAAAAGTCACCTCGATATCTGCAAATAACACACCCGCCAAGCTAAAAACGCCCATGAAGCCACTGAAAAAAACCAGTCCGCTTCCAATACAACAAAAAACACCCTTAGTTCTGAATAAAGGTGCAAAGAAACAGCAAAAGACACCGTCTAAAATGGTTGCCAACGACAGCAGTGATGAGGAGGAAGAGGAAGAACAATCTTCAGGTAGCGAAGACGCTCTAGAATTGGAAGAAGATTCTGATAACGAAGACGTTGATTCAGGCGATATGCAAGAAGATGAGGAAGACTCAGACGAAGAGGAGAATAGTGATGATGACATGGAGGGTAACGGGGTAGATGACAATGACGATAGCGATGCAAGTGACGTTGAAGAAGAACCGGTTGCGAAACCTGTAAAAGCTAATAACAAAAAAATGAAACAAGACGATGCCCCCAAAAAAATAGCAGAGAAAACTAAAAAACAGAATGACCCTCCCAAAAAAGTAACCGCCCCCACTCCCGATCGAGTATCACGAGACGAGAAGTTTGTTCTCTTCGTTGGGCAACTTAATTTTAAAACTACCGACGAACAAGTGCGCCAATATTTCAGAAAAGCGGGTCTCGTCGATGGAGTTCACTTATCTAAATTCCGCAACAATGTTTCGCGCGGTTACGGATTCGTTCGTATGAAGGATGAAGCAGGATTCAAAGTAAGCCGATGTTTTTATCGTTTACTCTCTCACTAAAAGTGTTATTTACAGAAAGCGTTAAAGTTGCATAATTCAACTTTGGACGACAGGCAAATAAATGTGGAAGTTGCAAACAAGCCGTCAGAAAAGAAGAAGAGCACTTTACCTAAACCTAAAAAGTCTAAATCCAAAAAGAACAAGAAGGCTGTGGAGGCGTAATTTTATAGTATCTTGCATTTAAATTTCTCTTGGCTATATGAATATAATTAAGTAAACATGTACTTTTTAAGCATTTCAAGTTTATTAAAATATATGCAGGCTACCGTATAAAACTTTACGTAGTTATGTACATTATATACTTTACAGTCGCAAATAAATTAGGCTGAGTTAAGTATGTGTATTTTAATAAACTCAAGTTTCGATAATTAATTATTCATTTCCATACAATTGTACAGCCAGGGATAGTACTGTTAAGTGTCCAGTAACAAATTGTAGGGGAGGTGTTTGACAGCGGGTTTGGTTAAAAAAAACTCAACGTTTATGTTTCCTCTGTTCTACAGATCCATTTATGTAGATTGGGGTCCCTGGTCCAAGAGCTTCTGTGTTCACATTCTTGCTGCCATTTATTAAATAAATTAACTCGCGTCACCTCTCCAACTCTAGCATCTATAAGCAGGCGAAGTGGTGGTGTGCGAGCTACCACTAGCATGTCAGTATGGTCACCGTCCTATACTCCACAGCTACTGTCAATGGCATCTTCCATTGTGTTTCTTCCACCTCCCTCGTTTAATGACTCTCCCCCCAAAAGTTCGCTTTCGTAGGTACATATATGGTATAATCCAGCACTACCAGTGCGAAATCTGGGGCTGACCCAGTTGTATCTTAGAGTTATATTATTAGTCTGTATGATCAATCCTTAAATATACAAGTCAAATGTTCCTTAAGATATGCAACCAATCTTGCCACTGTCATCTTTTTTAAATGTTTTTAATATGTAAATTGTTTATTAAATTAAGATTATTAATTAAATGTATACAGGGAAATTTTCTTAAATGTACGTATACATATGGGCTATCAAATCGGTTATGTATACTTAAAAAAAATTGCGGGGGCTAGCACAGATACCATCCGCCCACCTGCGCATGCGTGATTCTGCCCTTTTATGTCTAGGAATATGTGTAGGTACCAAATTTGGTTCCAATCGGTTCAGCCGTTCAGCAGAAAATGAGAGGACAGATGGACCGATAGACCGACATTATCAAGATTTTGTTTGATTCGGGTTCCTGATGGTGCTTCAAAACGTGTATTTCCGTCAAAAAAGTGGGGGCTCATTTTGTACCCCAATGCAATAAGTACCTCCCTTTACTAACGTGCGGTGCGGGTGGTAAAAAATACATAGAATATACCTAGATGGCTATACTGGGCAACCAAGTCTACACGATTTTGTTTTAAATGATCATCTGCGTATAGGTACTATGAAACAGTAACTTGATTATTTAATGTCCAATTCGGGTTAGCTATTATAGTCTTTACTATTTATAGCATCAAATTGTGATTTTTGAACACAAAGATGTATAGCAAAGGCGACAGGGTTGAAATTTTAACTGTAAAAAACAGCTCCAGCTTGTCGCGTGTAATGTTGATTGGCTACAGCCATTTATTCCATGCCGTGGTGCTATAGTATATACTATTATATAGTACCTATATATTATGATGCCATGCGTTTGCTCCGTTTTACCACCCGCACGTTCATAAGGAAGGTAATGCATACATGTTTTGAAACACCAGGAATCCATCTGTACCTACCCGTGTATGGGGCGGGGAAAGAATACCCCTACCGCAGCGCCACTGCGTGTCGTAAGAGGCGACTATTCAACTGCATGTCAACCGTAACCACACATTGAAAGGTGACTGGCGTAAATAATGCCACCCGCGTTACGGAGGGCGGGAAATTCGAGTACCTACCTATACTACCGTACGAAAGAATAAAGGCTTTAAAAAATCATTCGTTATAATCGAAAATCAAATGATTTGGAGAGCCATCAAAAAATGGATGCCATCAAAGTGCGCAGCATTGAATGAAGATTCAGATTCTTTATTCAGTGGTAGCAGCAACAGCAGGATTGCCTTCTGCTGAACCGTCATTTCCGTGAAAATCACAGAGCGGTTTTGATTGTATCCGAAATATTTTATGATCATAAAAAAATCGAATTCACGCGCTCGTGATTTTTGTATTTATTTTGTTGACATATTGACAGCTCTACAAATTTATTTGCAATTATTGTTAACATACAGATGCGAGTTTCTCCTGTATATTTAAAGGCGAAAAGATGTCCGAAAACTCACCTGTACGAACATATCAAATTTTGTGCGCTTTAGGTGGTAAGTGCTTTCTGATGTAAAAACGTTAAGATATTTATCAATATTTTATATAGTCGGTTTGGGAGGATTTATGATTGGAAACGCTCTAGGTTGGTCTTCTTCTGCTGAGCCCATCTTACTCAAAACATATGACGACGGTGAATTGAGATGGATTTACAGTTTCTTGCATGTGGGAGCAATCGTAGCAGATATTTACATTTGCTTCACAATTGACTTTCTCGGACGACGTTCGGCGATATATTTAATAACGTTGCCGTTCTTTTTTGGGTGGACAATTTTGGGAACAGCGGAGTCATTTGCAAAATTTTGCTTGGGAAGATTTATTTTGGGATTTGGCACAGCGGTGGCTTGCATTTACGCACCGAGCTATATAACAGAAGTTGCGGATAAAAAAATTCGTGGTGCATTAAATGAAATCTTCATTTTTGCAATTGCCCTAGGGATGATTGTTGTGTATTGCATGGAGGTACTAGATTCCATGATTTTAATAACACTACCATTTTGCTCTGTGCCGGTAATTTTCCTGGTAATTTTATTGCTTCTACCAGGCTCACCTATAATGCTATGTAAAAAAAAGCAGAAAGAGAATGCCAAACAAACGTTGCAGTTATTCAGAGGTCAAAACTACAATATAGATGGTGAATTTGAAGAAATGGAAAAGTATACCACAAGTTATTTTCTTGAGTTCAAAGACGCCTTGAAGGAAAACGGTTGTGTCAGAGGAACAATTATGGTAATATCAATGCATTGTGCTCAACAATTAACCGGTAGTTACGCAATAATCTTCTTTGCGCGGCGAATATGCGACATAGCAAACGTACTTGCAAATCCTAATCATGGCGCTATAATATTTGCGTCAGTTCAGTTGGTCGGTAGCTTAATCTGTGCCTTACTTGTTGATCGATTGGGTCGAAAGCCACTATGGATTGTCTCATTGGTACTGATGGGGCTCAGTCACACTCTAACAGGATTATATTTTGCAGAGAAGGAAGAGTCCAAAATAAATCCCATTGCCACTCTTGCGATCTTGATGGCGGCTTACTCATTGGGAGCAGGTCCACATCCTTTCATGATGAGCAGTGAACTGCTTCCAATGGAGGTAAAGAGTTTTTCAAACTCCCTTGCAATGGGCTGCAGTTGGTTTATTGGACTTCTCCTTACTCATCTGTTTTCTCACGCTATAAATACGGAAGGCATGCGCTACTATGTGTTTTTTATGTTTGGTATCTTATGCTTCGTCTCCGCGTTACTTATAATGGGCGTGCTGATTGAAACAAAACGCAAAACCCTTGAGCAAATCAGAAACGAATTGGACAGTTAAATGGTTAGTTGCTATATGTTTAAAAAAACTGCGTTACACGGTTATATATGTTAAATAAATATGTAAAGACCTTTGTGTTTTGTTTTGCATCTTTAAAAAAAAACATTGCGAAGATGTACCAATCAAATAATCTATTTTCCAGGCTTTTGAGCAGTTCGGGACATCGTCAGAGTTATCATGATGATGATACCTTTGCTGTTGAAACGCGTTCTTTATTTTAATATAGGTATATATAATTCTGGTTTATTGGTGTTTTTGTTTTACTTTTTGTAACTTCAACGGCCACAGTAGTTCCACTGGTTGGAATCTTAGAAGCACATTATTTCTCTGGCAATTACCTTATCGATGTTCTTACAAAAGATAGAGATAAAAGGTTTATAATCTGAATGTAAGGTAACCGGGAATCCTCCACCGTAATGTCGTGTGGCAGTGTGACACAACCGATCATTGAGTTAGACTTTTTACGCAAGTTTGAATCTATTATTCAGTGCTTACAGTACAAAATTCAGGACCGTTCGCAGACAAGTGCGGTAACTACACCATAAATCCCTATTATTTTTGTCAGAAGAGTGCGATTTTCAATTGTCTGGGCAATTCTACAGATCAAAATCTATAAAAATTGCCAATATACGTTAAGATCGCTTCAGCACGTCAAAAGTTATAGGTAAAAAACTGTATTGTAATGAAGAAAACCCCCCAAAAAGCCCTATAACTTTTACTAGTAGAGTAGGTACGATTTTTAATTTTCTGGGCATTTTGGATTCTGCAAGTCTAAATTTAAGAGAATTGCCGATATAATTTCATACGGGGAGAGTTAAGTTAGAAATTGAGTTGCACTCAACCATTGGTGAGTACAATGCAGGACAAAGATCAAATGCCCACGACGAACTAGCGCTGTGACAGATCTCAAGCTTGTATTTTCTTGTTTAATCGTGAGCTTGTTGGCCGTTTATGCGGCGGGTTTGAAGAAACTCGAGCGCCAACTCTCCTAACCGTTATAAATGTTTAAGTATATGATTATTGATTTCCATTATTGTTATAGCTCTGATGATTATGTAAGTAAATGAATTATTGGGGAAAACTGTAGGTAGGTACTTTGATTTTAAGAAATCGTTAACTTTTTAATGAGAAAATAGTATATTGAAAGACAAGTGTTACAATGCGACCTATTGTAATACGACTATCTTGTGGCACGAGTGGCGACCTATAATTCCCTTTGTAAATATGCATATTTTTCTTCATTAAACTTTATACATACAGTTACATATACAGTGATATTCATGTAGAAGTAGACATAGGGATTTCCTATGTCTACTTTTACATGATAAAAAGTCTTCTAAGGGACGCCTAACTTTATGCAACCAAAATAACTACCTACAACAAATGAAGATTTTCCTGTCATATTAATTAATTTGAATATTATCGCTTTGACTTCCGAATACTAATTTTCGTTCGTGTGTTGATATTGATATTTCCAATTGGTATAGTGCCGGTACCAGTTAAAAGAGCTTAAGAGATTTATTTTCTGTGAAGCCAAAGCAACAATATTCAAATTAATATGTCAGCCAGATCTTTATTTGTTTCAAGAAGTTATTTTGGTTGCATAAAATTAGGCGTCTTTCAGAAGACTTTTTCTTATTTGAAAGTAGACATGAAATCCCTGACTACTTTTTACATGAATATCACTGCATATACTTACTTAAGGTACGCTTAATCTACAGCTGGTTCAATTCGTGTAGGTACCTACCTATCTTATTTTAGGTGTTTGCATGCATTTCAAATCGTCTATAATTCTGTATAACTGGTTCTCCTAAGACTTATTATATGGCACAAAAGAGGTACAAACGACTGCGATTAAACACATCGTTTGTGCTTTAATTGCATGCGTGAAGTCAGCCTAAAGCCATTTAAAGGTTGTTTTCCGATCAATTTAGATTAAAAAGGTACCTACCTGTAATACTGTCTTAGTAAAGGTAACTAAAAGTGCCCTTATTTTTCCTTATGCTATGTATTAATGCGTTCCTATTACTTCTTGATACAGCTTAAAAATCCTGGCGATTGCCCCCATACTGTACGTTACATAGTAGCAATAACAATGCAAGTGCAAAATTTATTAAGTTCAAAATAAATTATATACACTGCCATGTGACATAAATTCTTAAAAATAAACAAAATGAATAACAAATTCGTAGTGTAACTTTTGGTTTCAAATACATCTTCCAATAGAACATTGCAAAACTTGAACTTAATACAGTCGCAACGAAATACCTTACAATAATCACGGTTTTCACAAAATACCAATATATACAAATAACGAAAATAGTTTGACTTAAGTCTTTCATCCAAAAGCATTTACCACAATAAATTTAGTCTATTGTTGTTGCTCTACGGTCTGCTCGAATCGTTGCAAACGTCGTCTTCTTATTTCTTCCTCGGCACTGAGCGGATTTGCAGATGATGTAGCGGGAATTGATGCATTTGAATTACTCGAGCTAGACGTGCCGCCTTCCGATTCTTTACTTGTATTACTAGAATCATTGGCTGCAGGTGGAACATTGTCCGTTGGCGGGTGACTCGGTATCGTTCCGGAAGTGGCGACTGCCGCACTGTACTGATTCATCATAAGTACGGCTGCGTCGAGCATCACCTGAGAAATTCAGTTTATATATTTTTTTACACTTCATTAGGGCACTCCCCCACACTAAATCAATTGTATCAACATTTAATCTGGGGTGATCAAATCTACACAAATTTAGACTTCCTTCCCCCTCCCCAGATTTCTATTTCAAATTAACATCTTAAATACCTCAAAATTCCTTTCAATTTATTTTGAAGTAGGTACATCTAATCGGAGGGGATCTGAGATCATGAGAAGATTAAGCTCATAAATACAATTGGAGGGAGGAGGGGGGATTCGATATATAAAATAATGGTACCTGAATGTTTTGTAGACAACGAATTCTCGCCTCCACATGTTCACGTTCATTCCCCTCCATTCTTCTAAGTTCTTCAGCGGATAGTGATGCAAGATTTGAAGAGGGCATCGGTGGTGGAGACATAAATGGCAAAAATGGAAACGGCATAAAAGGAGGCAAAGCAAACGGTGGTACTGGACCTTGCTGGGTCGTGCTTTGCGAGGTGGAGGTTGGCGGTGCGGTGGGTGGCGGTTGAGCGGCGGCACCTTGGTTTAAATCCTGCATTGGATTAATTAACGGTTGAAAAACGAAAGGAGGACCAGCAAACGGGTTCGGCATCGGTTGTGCTTGCGGACGCGGTTCGGCCCTTGCAGTTGCAGGATTTCGTAAAATATTCAGCCGACATGTTGGGCACGTCTGTTGTCGTTGAAACCAAGATCTTAAGCACGCAGTATGGAAAATATGATTGCACGGTAACTTTTTCGAAGACGTGGTCATTTCCTCGCGACAAATGATACATACATTGTCGGCGGCTTGCAGTTCTTCCGGTGTGGCATCCGCATACAGGGTGTTCATATTATGAATGGCGCGTCGTGACAATATTACATTATTAAATGCCTTCTTAAAGTTCCGTAATGTGTAATACATCGGTCTAAATGCAAACAACGGTAATGTATACAACTTTATCATAATTATGAGAAAAGCGATGTATAGGACTACTTTAATGAGGCCCATTACCAGTTCCGTATATAGTAAAAACACAGCCTTATTCGCCCAAGGAGCTTCGCTATTTAAATCTATCGTGTGTAAAACATATTTTAGAGCTATATTGGCAACCATAGTTAAAAGTATGGCATACTCGAAACCGAACACTAACTGTACAGATGGTCCCATCGCCATCGTAGATAGATATGCATGTTGTAGAAAATAAAAGTCCGAAGTACCTAATACGAGTAGTAAGGATAACACTCTAATGTGAAACACCCAGCTTATGACTGGACTCCTTTCCATCTACAAGAAAACGATTACTTACACACTTGTACTTGTACTCATATTTTAATAGTTGAATTCGGAGTTTAAACTGTGTACTTATTCAGCGCTTAAACTTTACTTCAAAGATTCCATAGCGCTTGTTTCATGCCTTTTCCTATTGACACAAATCTAAACCCTCTGTAGTGCTTTCTAGGTTGTTTTAAGAGCCTTCTAGGCCTTTCCTAGAGCTTTTAAATAATGATTTATTGTCACCAGCAGTTGCCAATAAGGGTCAACTTCAAAGGTATCATATAGAGCGATGCTTTTTCACATTATCACATTTCGAAACAATTAACTGAAAAAAAATAAAAAAGGTTGCTTAGCTCTACAAAGGACACAGAATTGTTCTTGAAAACCTTCTAAGGCTCCAAATAGTCTATGAGTTCATGAAAGGCTCTGGAAAAGGTCAACTAAGCCTTGAAGCACTTCTTAAATGCATTTGAGAAAGAATTCTATAACAATTTAGGGCATTTAGTACGTTTTCCAAGCTTTAAAATGACTTCTACTGGTCTCTAAACCCTTTTCAAAGCCAGGGAAAGCACCTGGGAGACTAAGGAAACCACCACAAAAGTGACAAGTCGTCTACAACATTCTCAACAGATTTAGACCTTTGTTGTACTGTATAATTTAGAAGATTACCCATCTTAAAGAGTTAGGGATGTGAACAACATAAGCACGTGCACTTTAAAGTTTAAGCTCCGAATTTGACCTTCTGAATACAATGTGGCCCTTCTGCACCTTGGTATACTTATACTCACATAATCAATTCGATCTTCGGCCAGCCAGTGGAACGATTTCAAGAAGAGTAGTATAGTAAAAAGTGCTACAAACTTTGGTGTGAAATCGTCACGAAACACGGTGAAGGCGAGACAAGTCTCTGTAATGGCATACCACGCTCTCTCCATGAGGTGCTAAAACCGATCATGATATAGTACTAACATTCCTGTTACAGGCTAAAGAAACCTCGAATTCCGCCGTTCGCAATTGTCCAAAGAAGACCTTGCGCATCAGTTTACCGGTGAGAAAAACCAGTATGAAGGCTTGAATATAAATG